TGTTCGCTCTCTTATGGAAGTATACACTCTGACACTCAACACAAAGGATTTATGGCCTGCACAATTTCCTATTTTGTCTCTTTGATAATCTGATTCATATTTAAATGAAGCTGAAAACATGCATTGATTTCTAAAAGGTAAACTAAAACGAAATCCCAAGCTTCAGTGTATGTTTTATCAAGCGCAAAACACAGCCTAGTACCCAAGGGGTTAAATGACCTGCTTTATGGGAACACCATGCCAATTGCTTTCCTCTCTCATTTTCTTGAAGGGTGAGCAAACACTCTTTGCATATTTCCTGCAGGTGCTTTTCAGTCACCCTCTCATACTCAATTGCTTCTCAGGTCGCGTGTCCAGCTGCTGTTGACTTTTAAAATTAAAATGCAGAGATTGCTAGAGCTTGCACCAGAGCTGAATACTTCATTATTAATTGTCCTATATTTCACATCAAAGGCACAGATGCCAATAACCCACTCTGGCCCCTAAATGCTAAATTATTATTATTAAAGTGTGATTGACATCTCTGGTTATTAATTATAATCTTGTGCACATATGCATCGTGATTGCTGAAAATAATCAGCTTTGTCTGCCAAACTGGCAACATACAGAAGCTAATTTGGTCTGACATACTATCAAAGGAGACTCATCGAAATCCACCATGCACTCTATAGCTGGTGTCTTCCTCTAACATCAGTAACTCCTTTAGAAAGGTTGGATTTGTTTTTAAGATGTTCAAGGGAAGTCCCACCTGAGAGAGAGGTTGCATAGATATTTACTTTTATTTACTTTGTCTGCATGCTTTGCAGAAATCGATCAACTTAAAACTAGACTTTATGTCTTAAAGGTCTGTGATTTTGCTCGGACATGACTACTAAAAATCATTTTATTTCAATTTCGTTTTTAAATTTCATTGGGATGAAAATGTTACACCATACAGATTTTTTTCTGACATTTCAGTTCCTCGCTGCTGCACTTAAGGAAATAATCTCTGTACACAATTTAGTAAATGAATATCACTTAATAGCTATGAATGCATGAAGGATGATTACAGGATTTTATGTTTATTTTAACCATAATATTGTCATATTTTAGAGAAGACTATAATTTTTTTAACAGTCAGAACTTGGAATGTCCTTGCCAGGTCTTTAAAAAAATAGTCTTTATCATATAAAACAAAGAAAGGCTTAATGTAGCATTCTAAAACAGGCACCATGGGCCTATATCTTTTTGAATGAAGATAATTATTTCTCTTTGTCATATTATGTGTACATACTGTAAATAAATAGCTTCTAAATATAGAGTATAGAGTATATTAATAAACTTCACAAGTGATTTAGATCTCTTTTGAGGTTTCTTGGATTGCTACAATACAACAGAAAGTCAAAACATCTGAGATGATCTCAAAATAATTTAAAGAGTAGAGAAGTTTGCATGACATTTTGCTCTTAGCAGACAAAACTGTAAAAACCTGCTTTGTGTCTAATCTGTTTTTCAGGTTTGTTTGGGCATTGTGGCAAGTCCACAGTCTCCCAAACCCGAATGCCATATGCAAAGCTTCCAGTGCCTATAAAGCAAATGCTAAAGGAAACTAGCTGTGACAGGCTGATACAGCAAAAATACTTCCAGTTCTTTGGGTCAGTCAGCTTGGGTTAATGTAACTATAGAGAAGACAGGCAGAAGTCAGTGTGTTTAGCAAATTAGTTCAGAGTGTGCTGCAGTTTGCAAATGTGCACCACATTGATCATAGGCTTACTGAAAAAGAAATTAGAACATTTTAAATATTGTTTTATTAAATAAAAATATTTCTTTTTGTGGACTGTCACTGTTTCTGGAGTAATACTGTATATCAGTTGTACTGTATGTGCTACATTTAATTTTATTTGAAAAATGTATTATTCCCACATTGTAGGAGTGAAACCCAGCCTAGTGTAAATGGCTAGAGTAGAGTATAACAAGCAGCGTGTAAATATTTAGATCAAGGTGAGGCGATAATAACGATTCTTAAGTTTATTATTTTGGAAAAGACCTTTGCTTGATGGTTAAGAGGAAGCCTAAGCTCTGAGTATTTACTTGAATCTACAAGAGATCTAAAGACAGGTATGACAAGACAGTCATTAAGACAAACGTGAGAGCTTGTCTTGGTGTCATTCAGTCGTTCTATAGCTTTTTAATACACTTAAGAGACTCCCATAAACTTCAGTCATGTTGAATTTTATGGCTGTATGAACTACAGACCCTATTCTTATTCAATGAATGTCTTCACAATTAAAATTAGGTGCATGAAGTAAAAATTGAAATCCTGTGGATAGCTTTATAAACAATTTCGTTTTTTTCTCTAGTGGCTCATTGAGGACATGCATAACAATAAAAAAAAATAATTTAAAAAACCTCATGGTTTGAATCGGGATTTCTAACTCACAGTTACCAGAATTGCGCAATACACACCCCTTAATGATAGCCCTTAAAGGTGTGTTCAATGTTTTATTCAAAATATAAATATTCTGAATTGTCAGTAAATGCATTAAAACACTGAATCTATGTATGTTTTTTGCATTAAATGTTATATAGCAAATCTATGCAGGCTTGCAGGATAGCTGGAAAAATTAGCCTTATGTAAGAACACTTTGATCCTCTTGGTACTATAAAAACAAATTTAATGACACAAAGGATTAACTGGAGCTTAACATTCAAGACCTAGTAGACGGAAAATACATCCCGAGCACACGTCATGCTGTCCTGCTCACAAACAATATTCTTTAAGCAGATACGTATTTCAAAATGAGAAATACTGTTGTAGCAACTGCAGTATTAGGAAAAAGTTTCTTCAATTATTTATTAAAGAAAAAAATACAGTGTCTATTATAAATTTAAAATCATTGGTAGCAGTGGTTTTTGCAAATAATTGCTTTGTTGATGGTTAAAAAAAGCTTTACTTTATACCACTGTACCTCTTTTACATGTTCTGAGATAGAATAAAACTATAATTTTTGGCATTATTCCTATACAACAAAAAAGATCATGAGATTTAAAACACTCTACATATTTTGTGAATAGACAACAATTATTAAGGTACTAAAAATACCAAATGTTTTTTTTCATAGTGAAATCTTTTATTTAAATCTTTCATCATTCAATTTGAGGCATTCTTCCCAGAATAACAGGTGAAAATACAAAAGAAACATCTTGCACTCTAGTGAGCAATTCATTTATCTCAGATGTAGTATTAACCACACGCACATCTCAAAGTGCTGTTGAGATGCAACAGGAGGAATACAATAGATAAAAGGCAGTGTCCCCAAAGTATGTCTTTAGTTCGGTGATTTAACATAATACGAGAATATTTTTTTTTTAAATCGAATAGTTAACGCCAGCTCAAGTTTCCACTAGAGGGCAGTAACACTCCACCTCTAAGGGGTGCAGCAATCGTGAAAATGACACTCTGTAGTACTGAGATCATAAAACCGAATTCCAGCAGTTTCTTTTTCACCTTTTACACTTCCATGTTTTCTCTGACACATTTCAGAATGCTTCAAAATCCTTGACCTGGCTAAATTTATAGCAGTATTCTGTGAATAAAGGGAACACTTAAAGGGTACACTCATTTGAATTTCTTTATTTGATCATACAAAGACTTAAGGATTAGTTTAGTTGAAGGTGGACAAATAATAATAAATACATTTACTGTATTACACATCACATACTCACAGTAGAGATATATTATTTATATATCATGACCAATCAACAGAGACTTTCCAGTGCTTTTTGTATGCTAGATACTGTAGTAATTGGAGTTAGTTTGTTATATTTTTCTAAAATTTAAATTTGGACCTCCTCTTTACTTACTTCAACTTCAAATTATTACTTACTCTGCTCTATCCTTGCTGGAATTCACAAATAGCTGCAAGCAGTAATTGTGATTTGCAAGTAATATAGAGTACTATACTGTATAGGAATATATTATTAGTGCAGTCTGTACTAAAAGAAAGTCTATGAAACTGAAAAAAATCAGTACTCTCCAATTAAATGTATTCATGAAATCTTTTGTGAGGCCAGATTCACTGATAAGCAGATGACTTGTTGTGTCAAACAGTGTTTACTATAGGAAGGTTGTTTTCAGTTTTCATGATTACGTATCAAATTTCAAACTAAACAAAAATGCTTGCCTATATCCATTAACTGTAATTATAATCCATGTTGGTATATACAAAGGCACTTACAGAGTGAGTCACTATGGCAAGAGCACTTTTTCAATACACAGTTTTTCTTCCACCCACATTTGCTTGTAAAAAAAATGGTGTACGTATTCTAAAATCTAATTTGTTAAATTGGGACAAACTCAGGAGACTGAAAAACCACACTCAGTCTGCAATGTACCACAGTAAAGAACTTGAATAAAGACCTAGAAATAGTGTAAAGTTAGATTGTTCAGCATCTAGAAGACAGATGTGCTTGCATTAAACAAGAATAAAAATCATGCTGTATATTAGCACGAAGTCAGTTTAAACAGTACCAACCACCTTGTGGAAAGAAGAATAAAGAAAACAACAACTGAAAAAAACTCTGCAGTGGCCTGACCCAATTTGTCACCACGAAGACTCATTTAATTGATAAGCTTAAGACTTGTATTATCTTCTTGTTACCCAATAAACACACACAAGTAAGATGCACTGTATTCTTCTTTACGTTAATATACTGTAGGCGGTAACACTGCAGATTTCTTGGCCTACTTATGACTGCATATTTATACAATGAAAATAAAAAAGCATATGCTACTTAAGTGGTATATGAATTCTGGCAGCACATGGTGTTCAAATTGCCTGAAATGAACAAAAAAATGGAAATTTTATCCCTTGAGAAAAAGACTAATAGCCATTTTTGCAGAACGCGTGCAATCTTGCCTAAACGTTCAAAGAAAGAGTGTGTCTAATTTGTCTGTGCATTTTCCATTGTGCTCCCTCTCTCTCCCGCTCTCAAAATGCAGAGATGTATCCAAGGACAGCTTGCAGAGCTTGGTCAAACACACAGAGAAGATCTGCATATTCAGTAAGTCATAAATCTTCTATTACCTTAGTTATGCATATGTGACTCCTGACCCTTTTTTTTCCCTGGTGGTGACACTTCAAGAGACAATGCAGGCCCGCAGTGCACACAGCTTCTCTCCCAGGTAATATTTCATGACTTTCTCTAGATTCTACCACCAGATCGAGGATTCTGTATTACTGTCTGCGAGGAGAGTTTAGCCATAATTGTCTTAAATGGTCTAATTTGAAGAAAATGAGTTGTAAAATTCCCTAAGCTGTTTTGTTAGTATAATGCCGTCTATATGCACTATGTCATATTACACATTTTTGTGTATTCATTTAAGGGAGAGTGTAGAACCTGCATAATATAATTAAGTGGGGTTTAGATTTAATCACCTATAATAAGGAGAAAGAAGTGTGATAACATTGCTTTCAGGCTTACTTCATAATGCATGACTGATATTGGGCTCAATAAGTAAACCGCTATATATATTGCTCTTCCCACATGTTTTCAACACAGGCCATCTAGGAGACAGCCTGTCAACATTGGTCTCTGGCTGGTGATATCTTACAGTCTGCCACAAATGTATCACATTGTTGACTGAGCCACAGGGCAAGAGTTTTTAATGCTTTTTTTATGTTTTTTTTATTTTTATTGAGTTCATGTTAAACTTAGTGGCATCTTTTCAGATTATATTTAGTCATCCAAAAATGTTTATAACAAGTGAAGCATCAATTAGTATTTCTCATACTACAAAGAGAAATAAGCAACATGCCAGCTAAGAGTAGCTTCCATTTTATCTCAGCAGTTGAAATTCAAGAGAGAAAATTCCGCGCACTGGTGGTATTTATAGAAATAAATAAAATCCTTAAAGGTGTTTATAGCTGTATAAACAAATCTTTACACAGATCTTCAAGAAGCTTTTAAAATTGAGTTTGTTAAATGGAATTTTCTTTGCATATAGACCTTCAAGAGAAATAAAGAAAGATGCACACCAAGGCTTTGATTGACACATTTATATTGCTTTCATTTTTAATTTTTCTAATTTGCAAGGATGATCAATCTAGCATTGAAAGAAAAACAACATCCTTATAGTTCCCAAGATGATATTTATGTATACACATTTTATTCCAAATGTAGAAATCTACATATTCTTTGAATTTGTAGACTTTGTTTTAGAAAACAAAATGCTAGGTTCAGGAACATATACTGTACAGTACTGTAGCAGTTGGTTGTAAGAAATCAAAAAGCTGGAAATGGTAACAAAAAGAATTCAACTGAAAAATAGATACTGTATATAGTGTACATACAGTATATAATACATATCTAAATAATACAAAAATCATGCTATCCATCTATTTTAGCCAGCCACTTATGGTAATGGCCAAAGCATGTTAATGCCTACCCTATATGCACAGGCTATAAAGTAGGACAGGGAACACACAAATGCTCTGGATGGGATGCCAGTAATAATAATAATGGAACAAATAATAGGTTTATTCCATGCTGAAAAGAGAAGAATGAAAACACAACCTTTCGGCTGTGGAGCCTTCTTCGGGTGTGAAGATATATAATATAATATCTTATAATACTTATAATAATACCTTTCAAAAGATTTTTTAAAAGACAATTATTTCTATTACTACTATAAGCATTAGTGGTAGTTTTTGGGAAGTGAAGTAGTGACACATGTAATTCATAAAGTTGGTCATCTTGAGTAGGTTAAAAAAAAGTTCATCCATCCCCTAAATTATCACAGAGAGTAGAAAAATTAACAAACATCACTTAAGCTTAATGCCAGAAAGGAATAGCAAACGTGGCACTGTCAATTTTGCATTACAGAAAGCAATACATTTTGGTGACAAAATTCAAAATAGCCTTCTTTGACAGAACAAAATACTTAAAACAACAACATAATTCAATGTGATGACAAACTGTAAGACCTTACTTTGTGAAGTCTAGACTTTTAACATTAAAAATGCACTGGGATCAACATACTAAATTGCATGTGAAAATAATTTTTAACAAGATGAGGTACTATCTAATATATGTAAAAGGTGGATATTATTCACTTCCCATAGTTCCACTATAACTTCTCATTGTGACAAATGTCTTTAGATCATGCAACATACTCCAGTACCTCTGCAGTTTTCTAAACTTCTGACACCCTTTCTTGTTTTTTTGACTCAGTACAGGACATATATACTTTATGTTATTGCAGTCATGCAGCATGCTTTTCTCTGTGGAAATGCAACACATAAGGGCTAGTTTATTTCACGTCAGACGTAAAACTGATTGACGGTTTGCCTACATAGTTCCACAAATGTGGCGTACAGAGGCAATAAATCTTGCACCTGTTGTCTTTTTCTCAGGCAGCCACAGACGGATTCAATAGCTGGACCCAAAAGCCTTGTATACAATCCATCACTGTTATGCACTTGAAACTACAGCAATGTTTCTGTCTTCAAAATGTAACTTTTACAGATCAAATTTGTGTTTAACTTTGAGCTAACTTAATACTCTGTCATTTAAAAAGCAAAGTTTGCAAGGTTGCCAGATACTTTTGAAAGGGCTTTAAGTATTAAAGTAATAGCACTTTAAACTGAAATGTTCATTAGTACAGTACGTCAGTTAGAAGTAGTACAGTAGGTTAAGCTTACACAGTACCTTTTCATAATAGCACCATTTGTTTCTGAATTCAGTGTGTTATTACAGTGGTGTTCTACTGGATGTTATCCTGGATGTCTGCTGTCCTCCACCTTTTATACTGTACAGTCGCTAACTTAAAATTCTCAATGAGAATAGTGTAGTCAACCAGGATACAGAGGGTAATGTAGATAAATTATGAGAATAACTGACTCAAATCCAGTCATTAAGAATTCAGGATGGAATGAAAATCGGAAGACACCAGAGTGAATATCAGTGTTCGACTGTCTGTTCACTCTCAACTTCCTTTAACGTAATGGTCATGTGTATTAGTTCTTCTGATACTAAAAACAATGCATATTATACAAGAAGATGTAGGTTTACAAAACAAGATTCATGTAATGTTTCACTCCACCATTGCTCTTTTATACACTTTTCCTCCTTTGTACAAGATGTTTATAAGACGGAAGATGGTTTTTCAATTGAAACCAGACGTTTTTCTCCTCTCTCGCTGCTACTGCACTTCCCTGTCCCTCAGGTTAGTGACATGCTCAGGAAGTTAGAACTTCACAGGGCACAAGCATGTGGCATCATACTGTATACGCCTTCACTCTGACACTTCTTTAAAGCCCATACATGACATCACTGAAGAGAAAAAATAAAGCTCCCACCTCACAAGGATGAGAGAACTGTTGAGGATGGAGTAGAAGGAAAAAGAAATTCTTGAGAAGGGTGCTCAGTGGTGGAGCAGCTCTTGATCAAAATTAATTGCTTTGGTGCAATATGAACCACATCATAAATACCGTGTAGAAGTCCAGGGAGTAGGGAGGCATTTACAGCTCTATATGCACTGCATCATTTAACTGTGGGTAAAACACACTGTGACAGAAGCTCTCTTCATTAATAATTTACTCGGCAGTATATGCTGAGCTTTGCCAATAATGCCAGGGGAGCAGCCACGTTCCCAGTTTTAATGACACGAGAGGGGAGGGCTTGGAGTGGCCCCTTTGCATCAGCATTCATGGCACATCTGGAAATGTCAGTGGATGATGATATCAAGGACTGAGCTGACAGGACAAAGGGGAGAAGAAAGTGGTGTAACTCCTCTTTTTATTATGTACAGCGGACGACACGAGGAAGGGTAGTTTTTCATTTATTCAATTAGTCACGGCAAACGATCCGCTATTGGCTGGGAAACTATAGTGACTGGAGAACTTTTCTTTACAGGTATGCCTTACTCATTTTTGGGGGGATTTGAAAGAACACAGAGAGAGAGAGAGAGAAAGAGAGAGAGAGAGAGATTGTCCATTGCTCAAGGAAATATCAGCCAGCTCAGCGATAACCTTGACATAGTCCATTCACCAACAGACCAGCTTAGTGAAGGAGGAGTTGTGCTGTTAGAGGTACCTGCAAATACCCAGAAACCATGTTGAATACCTAAGATGCTGCTGTAAGTGTTGTGTGCCTTTTAACACATTGCCCACCCTTCCTTTGTGTCACCTTCTGCCATATACAGTACATTGTAGATTTCATTTCATTGTAGAACTGCCACCGTTTTATCCTGCATTTACCCTTAGTCTGCATAGACGAAAGAGGACCAGAGTGGTGTGTACACACGCACACACAAGTGCCTTAAGACATGTACTGTACTGTCCATGTACAAACTCAGGGAAAAAAAACAGAGATAAAGTACCATACTGTACCTACAGTAAGACAAAACCACCACCTGCTGATATAAGCCACTCGCTCGGGTCTCTAGTAAGCCACTGGAATCACTGTGCTGCCATCTTACTTTACAACTCCTAACATTTCCCAAGGAGCTCTGCCTGTTTTCAGCTGCAATTTGGGAATTCCTACACAGGGTGGATTCACTTTGCTGATCTCCGGGCTTGTGTAATCCAAGCTGCACTGTGGGTAAAAGCTTTTAGAAATTGCTATTTGGGTGTCCCAGCCAAAGAATAACACATTCATTTAAAATCTTTAAGCAGGATGATACATATTCAAATATAGATATCTACAAAGCATATGACAGATTGATAAGCTGTGTTTAGGGTTTATAGTGTTATGTTTTTTCTCTCAAATTTCAAAAGGGAATTGCCTCCTAACATATTACCCTGGGAAAAGGTAAAGAAAAGAACAAGTCATCAGTTGAGTCTTCTGATACTGCCTCAGATGCCATATAATAAGGAAAATATAAAAACAGCTTAATGAATCACCTATTCTTTTAAAATATTTTCAAGGTTTTTGACTTATTTTGTCCATAAACATATTCAAAGTCATGTACTGCTAACCATTCTTTGCACAAGTCTATTTCCAATGTCAAGATCTGGTATTCTGAGGGACATTTAAATAATTTATATATCTCTTTGTCATGAAATAGCCTACTCCCTAACATGTGGGATATCCATGGTCCATCTTTCCTTAAAACCTTCATAGGTATATTTCTCTCTGATTTGGTACAATACTTCCAAAAAACTATAACAGAATCTGTGATAGAAAGTCTTTAAAATAAAGAAATCTGCTTGCAGTGAACTGGTTTGAAATGCTGTAGTTTAAAAACTGACCACAAAAGAAAAATTAATTGAAGGTTACAGAGTGAAAAATAAAATGAGGTACAGTATCATTCATCAGAGAATTACTCCATCTCCTGCTTTGAATCTTTCACTCCAGCACCAATAGCGTGAAAAAATCAAGGTGTGTGCCATTGCCTTGCTGCTAAATTTAACGAATGCTATTATTACATGTTATAAAAAAACTTCTATAAGGTCTGAACACACAAATATAATTGTTCTAAGTCTGATTGCCCTTTAAATTCTTTCCCACCTTCTAACCTCTGAAGGAAACTAAGGATGATGAAAACAAGATCAAGCCTTGCGAATAAATAAATACATACATAAACGTCTGTTGCAATCCTGTCGCGTTTCATAACTTTCACGTGTGTTTTGTTTATGGTAACTCATTACTCTTTTTGATATTAAATCCTTATGTGTAGAGACATGCCCATAATGTATTAGCTGGCCCTGGCTCCAGCTTCATCTGGCTGAGGCCAGACCCCAAAATGTCTGGAATGTGACAAGATAGCATTAGCCTGCCAACTTCATTCTGCGAACAAATTTATTTTCTCCTCTTAGACGGATGATAAAAATGTCACGGCATGATGCTTTAGCAGGCCCAAGAGCTGCCCACCTACAGCTGCGGGGCTAGAGTTGGACACTGAGCCAAGAACGCCATAAGGAAAACAGGCGGTAACCTCCGCCACCTCTGCTCTATCTGCACTGCTCATTCTCCTGCTAAATGATGCAATGTGACCCCCTCAGGGAGTCCAAGTCTGATCTTGTTTTTTTTTTTTATTTCCTTTCTCCCCTCAACTAAAGCAGGACGAATCTCCTGAATTTTTCATGAAACTGATAATATCATTGTACACAAGATAATGGCATTCAAACACATCCATCTGCTTGTTAGCTTTGACTACATCTATGGCAAATCTTCTGAAATTATATACACACAAAACTGATTTGCTTTTATTGCAAACTAAAATATGCTCAGTTAAAAAAGAGAGAGAGAAAGAAACAACAACAACAACAAAACACCATTATTACTCCACTTATGAGAGATAAGAGTGATTGAGTCAGTGGTGTGGTGTGCAGTGTGGAGGGGGGAAGGGAATTTTGGGGGTGATCTGAGTAGCATTCACTATACGGAATTCTTTCACTTTGAAACAAAATGAGTAATGTTGGAGTATCATTTTTTTTCCAGAGAAATTGCCACAGACTAATAAAGACCTGCCAGCACATAAAAGATCTATCCTTGTATTAAACTACTTACTGTTCAGAGCATCTTCCTTTTATTGCTGTTTCTTGTAGTTGAACACCTATACACAGAGCAGTAAACTGTTGTCTATAAGCAATACTTCCAGCTTCTACATAAAAATAGTGCTTGGAGAAACTAACAGAGAGCACTCTGGAAGTGAGCTTAAAAGTTTAGAAGTGGGAGATAAGAGTGACATCCAATGAGAAATTTATTAAATCTTCAGGAGAGCAGTCTGTCTAGGCTGATGTGTTACAGAGCAGTAAACAGGCTTTTTGTCATGTTTTTACACAGATAAATGAAGTGAACCCTTTAATTAACTGAACGAATGTTGTGCTAGTTTGCTCTGATTAAATTTCTATTTTTGGCTGCACCTTGATTCTCAGAGCAAGTGCTTTTATTTGAGAAAGTTTAGCAAAATCATTAATGCATTTGTACAGAGATAAAATAGGATTCGGTATCATGTATGTTAAGGGAAAAACTCAACTAGTAGTGTGCACGTCAGGTGTAACAAACTAAGGACCTAGTGGAGGTAAAACTCTGAAAGAATGAAAGCCACTTCACTTTGACAGCTGTTTTGAGCTTAAGTGCTGTAAGTTATTGTGGTCTCAGGTGCACTAATAATGAACAGAGGTCCAGATCCCAAAATAAATACAGCCATAATTGGCACATTATTCCTAAGTGACATGTAACAAAGGCTGCAAGGTTAAAGAATGTGAAGAGTGGGTTCATTAGACTGGAGGTACGGTATAGAGGACACTCTTTGGAGGTTAAGGTTGAGGTGCATTCTGAAACAGTGAAGGTGGAGAGAGACAACCTTGAAAGTAGTGCATTGTTCACACCTGTTCAGCATTTGGTGATACAAAAATACCCTACCATAAGTAATAAAGATCAGAGCTATTGGCTGCTTTGGTACTTCTGAGTAAGTCGGCTTACTTTTGCTAGAGAAGGTTGGTACTGATCACAAAGGAAGAACAAAATCATCATGACAAATATGTAATTGTAGCTGTGTTTAGAATTACCTCTGTTTCATAAGCTGCTACTCATGACTTCACAGGGATGTTTTAATTAACTGTACCCTTCACATTTTGTTTGAATGTTTCCTCATATATGAAAAGCATACATTTAACATTCCATTGTTATTTATTCATTGAAGAATGGACTCGATGAATTTTGTTATTTACAATTTTACATTATAATCTTTATTAGGTTTTAAAATATTATATTATGTGCTCCCAGTTACATTTCCATATTATTGGGCTCAGAAATAATTATGTGAAATTTAAATGACTACAATAAAAAAGCCTCAGAAATCCAGCATAAACAGGAACCCCAAATAGAAACACTGAACAAAGAAAGTGTCTGTGTGAAGTCAAAAAATGACAGCTATTGCTGAATCCCAAACTGCCTGGATCCTTGGTCCTTCCTGTGCAGGAAAATAAATGCGGATTACTATGGGAAAGCAGTATCCAGCCTCGCAATCAGAATTAGACTGACAGACATTGCTGAAAACCAAAGCCAAGATCAAGGGGAGAAATTAATTCTGAAGTCTGCTTTGAAATTCAAGACTAAAAAGATCTGACATTCCCCTATCGGTAGACACTTTAAGGCTGGGACAGAAAGAAGAAAACCTGTTTGTACAGAGAAAGGTTTGTTGGCCCTAGGCCAAGACAGAAATTCTGTCAAACCTGACGCCTTGACAGTGCTTTGAAACTTTGGAGTAATCCAATAATACAATTAGATACTTCCCTTAAACGACTGAAAAGAAAAGAAGTAGTGCACCATGAAATGCCTTTATTTAGAATACATTTTCTTTCTGTACTTTTAATTCTGTATAAATTGCAGTACTAGCAATTCATAATACATTTCCCAGAACATATAAATATTTTTGTAAAACGCCAAGATGATAGAAAAACCCGTTGAAATAATCTCAAAAGCCTGTCTATTTTCAGATCTCCTACACCCACCTAAATGCCCTTGGCCTTCTGACGTAAGAGTTGAGAACGAACAAAATTCTTACACAGCTGAGTGACCACTACCAACATGGAGGGCCGAACATTACAATCCAAATGATAAGCACCAACTGTCCTGTTTCAGCCTCGAACATTTAATGTTATTTAAAAGAAAAATAACATCGTGTGACAGTTCAACATTGATTGATAAGGCTGCCAAATGCAAAGAGATAAATAAGCAGGTGATGGATAAACAGTGCTTCGAGTAAAGACATTACACCACATGCATAAAACGGCGCCAGCCACCTAGGAACTGTGGGTGGCCGGAGGTTAGCCATTTCATGCCCACTCAGTAATGCAGGCTTAATCGCTTCCAATATTTTCTGTTAAAAAGGACGCTTAATGAGCCAGTTTCACAAGCCCAGAGAAACTGATTATTATCTGTGAGTTCCTACAGAGTTGGTTGTTGTCCAAGATTCATTTCCATTTATGCTCTAACACCTTGTCACCATTAGATGGCAATATCGGCTTTTTCTGAAGACCGGTCCTGAGCCTGTGCTTGATTGCTATGCTCTGTGCAAATGGCTGTATACAGAAATATGTTTTTTTTCTCCTGCATATTTCCCTCTGATATCAATATCAGATGATACTTTTGTTCCTACATGTGCCTGTAAGGCAGAATACAAAACCAAGAGCCAAGGGATGGGAATTTGTGTGTATAGACTAGAATTTTCCTGTTTTTGTTTTCACTTCTTAATTAACACACACATAATGTACTGTATATACAGTAATAATTTAAACAAAAATGGGAAATATATATAGTATTGTCACTGTAGCTTCAGACCTAAGACATTGGCTGAAAAGGTAGCTAGGAGACTGCAGTCTTTCGTTGTTTTTTAAACATTTATGTTCATACACTGGAATATTTTTAAATGTTATTTCAGTAGTAAAAAATATTATTAATACTTTGTATTAATACAAAAGTAAAGTAAAAGAAAATTTCAGTAGAGACATTTGGAAAACCATAAAAGTCTTTTAAAACTGGTAATACAGTGGGATTTACTGTACTAATATGAAAGAATGGGTAGGTCCACAATAATTTGCTTTAACACAGTAAACCACATGAGATTCAATCTGACAGCTTTAATAATTATATATCATATTCATCCAAGAAAATTTTTATTCAACCAGTATAAGAATTTAACCTTTCTATTAAATTAAAAACATTTCTATAGGATTGTCTTTGGACGATTAAAAGTGGTAATCATGTGACTAGAGACTTCCCAGTTTTGAAACAAGGGATTCTCAAGACAATAATGTTGTTGTTTAGTGTTCAACCTTTTTGAGTTCCAGTATACAGGTCAGAAGCACAGGGAAAGTGTTTGGCGCAAATGAATTTGTTCAGTTTTGGCTTAGCATACAATCCTTCAACGCTGCCAAACCACTTACATGGGTTCATAAGAAGAATCAAAACAAATCACATTTTTACCTGAAAAATGAAAACCTTATAGTAGTAGTTTAGTATCTTCTTAAATTTAATTTCATTTTTTAATTCTCACTGTTTTTGAGATAGAAATATATTTTAATTTGTTTCTTGTCTCTTTTCCTGTACTGAAACCTGTTTTATTAAATTAAATAAATAATGATGGCTTATGCAAAAGTCAGTGTTGAGGGAAAAGTAGGTACAAAATGTTGTGCTAATGCCAATATTTCTGTGTAATTCACTTAGTGAAGATTTGAAATGCAGCCCTCAACCATGAACTGATTATTTTAAAATGCATTTTTTTAAAAAAAGAATATCTTTATCTGGGGTTCATGCTATATTTTTGTATCAATTATTGATACTATTGTACAATACCTGCATAAATGAATACTAATTGGGTAAAAGTTAAAACTACTGTTTTACAAAACTTTTAGTTTAGTTTCTAACCCCGTTTTAAAATAACTAATTATATTAATTAACTTAAAAAGACACTAAAATAACAGACAGCATGTAGCCTTTGTAGTATATAATTAACTATGTGACAGTTATCATTTACAATCAGAAGTGCTAAATGGTATGAGAACACCAGCTAAATACTGTTTTAGGATAACTATTCATTTACTACAATAGACACAAAGTAAACAGTAAATATTGTCCTTTTAGAACATTCTGCCTGGCTTTTTTTTATAAAGCAAATCTGCACATGTAACTATTTTTACAGTTGAGATCAGGGGCTCTCAGCTGACCAGTGAAAATTATTATTTGAAATAGACCAAAATTCCAATATTAATGAAACTTTCAGTTCTGTTTGCAATATACTTTAAATGACATTTAAATGAAATGCACACATGTTAAAATGCAGACATTACACTATTCTGTTTGATATTTCTTACAGTGTATTTCTAAACTCACAAACAGTGATTGCATTGGGCTCATGAATATTTATTGATCAATACCTTATATTTTTAGTATTATTATGGTGATACTTCCACTGTAGTGTAAGACCTACTAATAGTATACTACCATAACCATTATTAATAAAGAAATTATTATAATTATACTGCCTTCAAAACCCTCACATAATGTATATACAGCAATGGCTTTTTGTGTTACATCGTTTTTATTGAAGCCTGAAATGTCTTCAGTGATTTTAACTTAACACTAAGTTATTTTTTTCTATCTAGGTCACTTTGATCAAGCAAATTCCAATGGTGATGAAAATGAATATAACAGTCATTAGAATGTATACTATAGCAATAGTACATATATTATTAATAGAATAGACAACTTGCAGCAGCACATTTGCAACTGAAACACAGAGGACTAGTTCTACATAAAAGAAGATATTAAAGTTTTTGTGGATGATGTTAAGCTACTGTATGTTTGGAAACCGGATGTCCTTAAGGTACATTTACATTTACATTCTTATCGATCACTGTCATGATCAATATCGGACTTTCCAAAAAATTCTCAGTGAGCCATTTCCTATAAAACACATCTAAGTGAGTGCAGTTAGACTATTTAGGGATAGAACAGTGAATTCCACTGACTTTAAATGTCCGAATTAAAAGAATGTTTTGACTCTAATCCTTCTCTTCAGCATAAGAGACATACAGTATAACAGAAGTACAACACTGTAAAAATAAAAATGTCAGTGTTGGAAAGAGCTTTTAATCTAAAATGTACTGTATAAAGCAGCATTTACCAAAGCAAACTGACAAAGTGAAAATCATAATTATTTTGTGGAAAGTTTACCTTTGAGCAACTAAACCTCAAAAGGTCCCTATTGAAGACAAAACTGAAAGTGGTGTGAGTGCCCTTTAATTACATTACGGGCACAAAATACTTCCCCAGTTTTTTGGCACCTTTTACGAGAAAATAAATATACAATTGGTGATTGTGGGAAGAAAAAACATACTAAGGAAAGTATGAGGTGCTGCAAGTGAAAGAAGTTTATTCAACTGTTATGAATGTTATAATAATTCATGCAACACTTACGATACAGTTCCAGGAATTATATATTCAAAAATGTTTATTGTATTAGAGGAGGCTGTACTGTAGTTGTCATTGAGAGTTATTTAAATCTAAAGGGTTCTTAAGAACAAACAAAAACTCTTTTTTATAGAATGTTAAAGCTTGATGAGTCAAGGGTTAAGGTTCAGAATCATGAAGATTCTTCCAGTCCTAATTGTGAAATATTTATGGGGCTTAACAATGCCCCTTGGTGTAATTTAATCCACAGTTGTAGCTATAACCTTGCCAGTAGATTCTTATTCATGTGTTAAAGCAACAACACATTTTAGAAAAATGCTAAAGAGCTGTACAAGTGAATTAAGAACAGAAATATTAAAGAGCTGAGTAAGAAGGGGAATGCATGGCATTAGCAAAAGCCAAGAGAATGGGAAACCTACAGATTAAAAGAAAATTTTATGTAAAAGTCATTGAAAGTCTGTAGCTTCCACAGAAGAAATATTTAAGTGACTAAGCTTGATGCTCACATCAAGGAAGAGTATTGGGAGGTACTGTAGAAGCCAAACTATTTAAGGCCCAAAGAGTTTTCTCATTTTTTCTTGCAATAGTGTAAAATGGTTTCTTCCCCCTGCTCAGGATAGGGAGTCCTAATATTAAAGCAAGTAGAAACTAATGTTTTTTTGACTGGTTGCAGAGATTCTTCTGACCCTGAGGCATAGAGCCCTGTGGGGTTCAGCAGAGCCCAACAGTCTGTCAAAATCAGAAAGCCTTATTTACAACTAAACTGTATTTTAACCAAATGGGTAATGTTCCAAAGAAGCTTGAGACACCCTTGGCTTGGTATTCCAAAGATATCGCTTGTCCTTCTTGTTCATACAAATACACTTATTTTTAAGTATTAATTAGAAATAATGGATTGATGCTATAAAATAATGGGAATTTAAATTGAAAAGCTTTATCTGAGTGTTTCCAATCTTAAGTGCCAAACAGGAAAAAAAATAGAATTGTAAGGCAAATATG